GGGGGCCATCAGAGAGTTCGATTGGCTCTGCGCAGGAGAGGCAATCGCGAGTCATCCTTGTTTCCAAAGCTCACCGGAACACAGCAGTGGAAGAGAAGGTGTGTCCGCTGCAGCTATTTCCTCTCGCAGAACTGAGGCATTCTGCTCCCGTACAGTGGACATGAACACACCGTTGAAACGGGGTGGTCTGCGGAAGGACTGAAGCGTGTAGCCGTTCTTTATTGATTTCATAACCCACTCTGATACCCCTGGCAGTGCCTGCCACGCTTCTGTGAACTGTGATAGCGGGCGAGGCGGACTGCACACCGTGAGGGATAACTCGCCGTTGGGGGCGGGGAGTTTAATACCACACGAGTGTGAGAGTGAGAGGTGGGGGAGAGGGGAGTGAGAGGAGGAGAATTGCTTTGATATTGAGGTGAGTTTTGTATGTTTATCGACTTTATTGCACTGCATAGTGGAACAGTCAAAACACAAACATGAGAGGAGCGGGAATGCGCAGGAGAGTTCGCGCCGGCGTGCTTTGGCAGGAAGTGGTTAATAGCCTTCGACCGAACAGCAGCAGAAGAGGAATGCGGTCTTCCGGAGTGCTGTGCTGAGGAGGAGCGGGAATGCGCAGGAGGGTTCGCGCCGCTTTGGTAGGAAGTGGCTTATGGCCTTCGACTGTTTCTGCGCTTCAACGAAGCGCTCCGTGAACGTCTCTACCACCGATCCGAAGAGACCTGAGGGATTCATGGGAGCGTCCAGAAGGGCCGTTTTTTCCGAGTCCTTTAACTCGGTTAGAGTAAGCCACAGGTGACGATCTAGCACCACAAGATTCCCCACAGCAGTGGAAGAGAAGGTGTGTCCGCTGCAGCGTGTAGATCACGGTGAGTAGTCTTGTTGATAGGCTTCTTATAAAACATTAAAATGCAACAACGTCACTTACATCATCACTGCATTTCGTGCTCCACTAATGACGCTCCCAGACGCACATCTAACATTTGATTGTACTATTTTTGCATTCAAATGCAAATGTTTATTTTAAATTCGACTAATATTAATTTTTTTATTCACAATCTCCTCATCACAGGCAGGCACAGCACTCATTTCAGCATGTGTTCGTGTTTGTGTGTGCTGTCTGCGTCACTCATAGCACGTGCGTATATCATGCGCCATATCGAAAATTTTTTCTATCGTTATCGAAGAAGGTGTACCGTCGATAAATATTGAATACCGTTTTATCGCCCAGGCCTTGCATACTGCAGTGAACAAAAGCAGTGACATATTCTCATAACATGGACATTTGATTTACCACCAGGACTCCTCACAGGAGAAATATCACTCTGCTCCATTTTCTCATCTTGACCTGAGTAGATGTTGTTGACTTTTCTCCTTTCCCTCTGAACTAAAGCAATTACTCTGAGTAAAGTAAACAGCATTTTGAATGTCTAAGTATTGTAGACTGCAATATGAGCAAAGTTAGAAACACCAAAGATTGAGCAAAGCAGTGCCAATATTACGAGCATATAACAGTGACGTCACAATCTAATCAACGTTCCACTGCTGCAGGAGATCCGTTGCTGAACTGCTACGTGATTGGTCCGTTTGCGCTGTGGGCGGGGCTTCTGCGCCGCAAAACTCGTAGCGCTAGCGCTAGTCCTTTACTGTAGTTTTAGGAGGAGCAGAAATAAAACCATTATTTAGGAAATTATCATAACATGCTGTCTGTTTGATGAATAAATGCTTTGCTATTATTTCTTGCCGATTTAAGGGTTTACAGGTAAAAATGGTCTAACATGTGACCCTCCCTGTTGAAAAAAACAGCATATGCTGGTTAGGTATCTTTAAAGTTGTCCAAATGAAGTTCTTAGCAATGAATATTACTAATCAAAAATTAAGTTTTGATATATTTACAGTAGGAAATTTACAAAATATCTTCATGGACCATGATCTTTACTTAATATCCTAATGATTAATGAAAAATCTATAATTTTCACCCATACAATGTATTTTTGGCTATTGCTACAAATATACCTGTGTAACTTAAGACTGGATTTGTACTCCAGGGTCACACATATTGGCATGTAAATGTAAGTTGTTGAGATTCAAAAATGAATTAACGCGTACTTTACTGATCACTAGCGCCTTTGTTCTCATTAAAACATCAGATGTGACTATCTATTATTTAATAAGTGTATCTAAGAGTGTTTAATTAAAGGTTCGTTTAAGCTCTTTGTGTTATAATAGTGTTTCTGTGACCTAATGATCATATCTAGCTTCATTCGTTGAAGATCATACAAAAACATTAATTGTCATCTGTACATTAATGTCAGTAATAACAGTCATAGATATTTTAAAGCAGTCTGTATTACCGTTTTCACAGTCAAACAGCACATATCTGAATGTGTCTAGATGTATTGAGAGAAAACAGTTGTCAAATTGTATTAGCAATTGTGTGAGACTGCATGCACGGTTTATAACTTTAGGAATAACATAGATACAGTAGAGTTGTAAAACATAAGTGTGTGTCTGTATACCCACCTAACCATATACTGGGGACATATTTGTAGAAGTGAACTGCTGAGAACATCCAGGGACGCCCTCATTTGACAGGATATAAATGTAATAGTTTTCATTCATTCATTCGTTCAAAGGGTGCAGAAAGTTTTCTGTTAGGGTTAGATTATAGTATTTGTAATTAGCTTTATAAAAAAACAGAAGTCTATGCAGTGTCCAGTTTAAAAAGCCACTAAACCTGTCTGGATACGAATTAAATGTTTGTGCGCAGTTATTAATGGAATGCAGTAAATAAGATACTTTTACTGATATTCCAGTAATTAATGATTTTAACATTTTTGTTTTCATTAACATGCGTTCCAAACCTGTAAGACTTTATTCAGTTTTTTTTCAATCATGGTTTGTATCATACTTCGGAACAACATTTCATTTTTGGATGAACTGTCCTTTTAATATTTGATTTCACTGGAATTGCTGAGAGATGGCGTTCACATATATACACAGTACATATATTATTCATATTTAAAGCGCAGTAATCAACTCCTGTTAAGTATTAGATGTTTGCAATTTGCAAAATTATTAGGAATACATTTGTAGAATAATATAATACGAATACTCCAGTATACACTTTTACATGAATTTGCAATGCAATGGGTAGTATATGAATTTAACAAATAAAATAAAGCATCTGTAAAAAGAAACAAACCAGCTCTCAATTTGTTTTTAATAAAACTGCAAAACAGTCATCAGATTTACAGTACAATCTCAATTACTGGGACAATACACGGATTGCATAAAAAAAACCAACGTTTTAGAGCAAGCCTCCAAACTTTTGTGCAGCCATATGCAAAATTGCTCAAAACAGACGTATTAACAGAACGATAGCTGGCTGAGACTGTGATTTAAAAAAAACAAACATTCCCTTTATTGTAGCCTGACCATTTTTCCCACACAATTTGTTTGCCCCTTTGTTTCAGAAGCATGATCTGAAAAGATGTCTAAAACATGTAGTGATGTACAATAAAGACAGGCAGCATTATTATGAAACAAACATAAATCAAGATTTAATCGCGAATTTCCAATTGTACGAATGCCAAATACTAAATCAAATAAACTGCTTAAATAAAAATTCACTGCAATTTTTTTTTATCGTTACATTGATGCCATATCCAAACTTCATCTGCAGAAATGATGTCATAACGTAAATCAAAGAAGATTCACAGAAAATAAATTGAAATGCAGAGGAGCTGCGATAATCGTAAACATCTTAAAAATCAAACTAATAATGCCAAATGAACAGCATAAATTAAGAATGATGCACGGTGCACTGGAAACGATTAGCTTGCCGCTATTCTTCACTAAAGCATAAAACTCGCATTTCATTTTATGAAGCTAATTTACCATTAAAACTGGAGACGTAAAAGGGGAAAGCCCTATTGCACTCTGCTCTGCCATGATTACAAATATGTAATAATAGCAACAACATTAAAACAAAGAATCGGTTAAGTATATGCACATCTGGTCCTGGAATGATGGCTTGAGGGGTGTGGGAATACTTGTTGGTGTGTGTGTGTTACAGACGGTGGATATCAAACACCCAGTTTGTTGGCTTGCGTCAGCACCACCTTCAGGATGGGCATGAAGGCAGACGTCTCGCTGAAGTTGCTGCTGCTCACGATGTGTGTGTGGATGTTGAGTCCGTCGCTGTAGCAGCGGCACTCGATGCTGCGGGCCATATTGTGCAGACCACCGACAATAGCTGGAGACAGCTGGAGAGAAGAGATTGTCTCGCACTCAAAACATTGCTAAATATAATATTTAAACACCAGTAGTATTTTAAAGCTTGTGGTTAGGGGTGGGTGATATGGCAAAAATATCAACACGATTAACAATTTTATCACGATTCTTTGTCATGTTGGTTTTACTATTTTGCAAGTTGTCTGAGCATTAAGGGCTTTTCACACTGAAAGCGAAAATTCGGCACGATGACGCTTTTGAATCGAAACAACAGATCCCTATGGGGCTATTCACACCAGGCGCGATCATTCGCGGTGCGAAAAATCAAGGATTTTTTTTTCGTCCTGTGTGTCGATTTTTTCCCCGTCGCTCCACGATGAAACGGGCCATCCAATCAGATTTGAGCTTAGATCACGTGCCCACAGCAGCTGCTGTTGCACAAAAGGTTGAGAGTGGTGGCGCTGTTTCGAAAACCAGTGTAAACAAACACCGAAGAAGGGTATCCCGGCCGGTAGAGAGAAGAGAGTGAATGCTGAGTTCCTGTAATCTTTGGTATCTGAGAACAGATTTATTCTCACATGTTCTTTATATAATTTCTAAATTCTCCATTGAATTATGTGATCTGGAGTGTCCGTTTTCTTCCACGTGCGCGAGTCTTTACTCTCTAGATCTACCGTGTTTAAAAAAACGAGTCAAACATTTTTCTAAACATGAAATATGAAAGCAAATAGACATATGATTATGTATGTGTTTTGTATGCAGCTCATGGTAATTTTATAACAATAAAGGATGTTTATGACTGTAGCGAATCAGCTCATAAGGGAAATATGAATAATTAATCATAACTAGTTATAATTAATTATAAATATTTAGATCCGCTGTAGATATTTACTTGACCTCTCAGGGTCAACTGTCTGTCAATTCTAAGAACGTTAATTTCCTGGTTAAGGGAAATAACTTTCTTACTGTACAATTCTACAAAGAGCTTGTAGCATAAATCTGCATGATTAAGTGACTCCAGTTATGAGCAAACAATGAACAACATCAAGTGTGATACAAGTAAGACTTTATTAACCACATAAACACTTAAACTAGTCTAACATACTACATAAACACATAAACTGGTCTAACATACACACACACACACACACACACACACACACACATAC